TTATAAAGAATATCTCTTTGGATTTGAGACTTTAGTCTTTGCAACTTTACAGATCTGCTTTACGCACCAAGAGCTTGTAACACTCCAAAGAGAAAGGAAAAATTTAAATCGCATCATATGACCCCTTTAAAAAATGAACAGTAATGAACAGTGGATATGGATTTCTCCACTATGATGAAATGACGTTAATTTTCGCAGGCGTGCTGTCTTGAGCCAATGGCAAGCGCCGGGGGGCGGAGCTTATTAGCCAGCCTTATATAAACTCAAGCGGACAGCATTTCTTCGCCGTTTCTTCGCCAGGAGGTTGTGCGTGTTTTTTCTACACCAAGTATTTTCTGGTGAAAGCAACACTTTGCAGTCATGACTGGCAGGAAGTTTTTCGTCGGTGGCAACTGGAAAATGAACGGCGACAAAAAGAGCATTGAAGAGCTCGCCAATACATTGAATAACGCCAAACTCAACCCAGACACCGGTGCGTATTTCATTCAGTTTCCTCTTCACTAGGCACAAACACATGCCTCCGCAAACACAGGCCTTTGAGGGTTTGTGCAACATACTGCATTGACCGTGAGATGACATTCACGCGGGACTCTTGACAGATCTCATCATATCATTTAGAGGCTCTTTCTCGTTGTATTTATCATCTCAGTTTTCTATAGATAGCTCGTAATCTAGATTAATCCGTAACCAGACAGAAGTGTCCTGCATAAATTGTGTCCTAACCATAGACTGTATAAAAACAGGTCCTAACATTTAAACCAGTTTCTTTTATAAATGCAGAGGCTATATAAAGCACTATTCGTCGATTGCCCGTCAGGTTTTTTGAATGAATGAATGAATGATGCTTATCGTGTGTCGTGTTTCAAGGGTTAAAGCTTGAAATGGGTGTGTGATTTCCAGCACGTAGCCAGTGTGCATGTTCAAGGTCTGTCAAATCAAATGACAGGATGATCAATATGTTCGGTTTATCAACCAAACTGTGCTATATTCGCTTATGCTGTTTCTTTAAAAAGTAATATTTAAAAAGAACGATAGTAACTACAAAAACGCATTTTTGAGGGCTTGCGTTCCGCGTTTCCGCTATATTCACTGTGCATCACTGTCCGAGTTACGGCTTTATTTGAGAATCCAGACAGGGTTGATCTGTCAGTAGCACAGCAGTGGACTTTGAATCGGTAAAGTCCAAAAATCACGCTGCTTGCGCGTCGTCTGCTGCATTCACGTGCTGAAACCCGAGAGAAGCACTAACACGCAAAGGTCATGGGTCAGCTTTTGCCTTTTTGCTTTACTTCATGCCCTCTGTCGTATGCTGTCATACGAGTACCCTTTCCTTTGACCTTTTATCAAGGGAGATAAAGTGCCAGATATGTGTGCCCTTTACAGTGAGTTTAATTTAGTCTGACCCAACATAATGTTTTAGTATAAATGCCACATCCAATGGCAATACAGTAATACAGACCTATTATTAACCCTAAAATAAAAAACTGACATATGAAACAATAGTCAGGTGTGTTTTATGTGAAACCACTTATTGAAACTTGTTTTGTATCCTATTATTCAACACTTGAGGAGGTAAAAAACCTAATCAATTTTATTAAGAGGCCCAAACTGAGCAATGATATACTATTTGGTGCAGATGAGTAAGATGAGTTCTGACAGCTTGTAATATATATCTGATTTTTTTAACAGACTACTTGCATAAAGTGTATCTGAAACTTTATATCTCCCAATATTATGTCTTAGTAAGATGATATTTAAATGCATAGTTTTATGATTAAAACTCTGAATTTATTATTTTGGAGGCAAAACATATAATTCAGTGAAATACAATAATTGAAAAATTCACAAATTAATGTTATTCAAAAACCTATTGTGTCAGGTTTGATACATTTTAACAATTTTTGTTTCAATCCATTAAATGTTCATCTTGAAAGATCTATAACAATATTCAAGTTAGTCTGTTATTGTACTTAAAAAAAAAACAAAAAAAAAACAGAAAGACATGTGCAAAAGGCCTTTTACTTGCTAAAAGGGTTTGAAGTATTAATCAAATACAGAAGGCATGTAAAGGTTTTTCAGCCAATTTTTGATCATGTTTATAATTTAGAGGCTTTAGAAATGCATGTATCAAATATGATACAGTAGGCTGTAGGCAGGGGTAAGAAAAAAATAATTCACCATCTTGTCTCCGCTTAGCTTTCAATAGATTGCTACTTTTAGAAGACATACTTTTGTGAATTTGTCAAAAAAAAATCTAATATTCTATCTTATTTCTATCTTGCAATGTTCTTAATCGAGATGTCCCATCAGCAATCTGAATGGTTAAATATCTTCTGTTTGATAGGGACATGCAATCAGGGCTTTGCTTTGGTGGTCCGTCACATTAATGAAGCAGTTATTACGAATCACAAGTGATTTTTCCAGTGGTGATTTAACGTGTTTATTTTGTCTCACAGAGGTTGTGTGTGGTGCTCCATCCATCTACCTCGACTACGCCAGGTCCAAGCTGAATCCTAACATTGATGTCGCGGCACAGACCTGCTACAAGGTTGCAAAGGGAGCCTTTACCGGAGAGATCAGGTACATGTCAACCAATTTACAGTCCAGAAAAACAGTCAGATATAAAAAATATGTAATAAAAATATATTTATTTCAATTTATTCATGTTTTTGGTCAATTTTTTTCTATCCTTACTCATAATTGTCACTACAAATCATTTGTCTTATTCTTATAGCCCTGCGATGATTAAGGACTGTGGAGTAAAATGGGTTATTCTGGGACACTCTGAGAGACGCCATGTGTTTGGAGAGAGTGATGAGGTAACTCAATATGCTTTTATGCATATGGAGTCTTATTATAGAAAAAAATCATCAGCTGTTGTGGAGTGAATATAGTCCTCCATGTGTTTTATGTAGTTCATGAGAAATATCTTTATTTTTTTATTTAAACAGTATTTAAGAGAAAATTAAGTTAATTTAATGATGCTTTTGAGATGCAGTAATTATTTTAAATGTATTTGATGTCAGTATAATGTGTTGACTTTGGATAAGCT